TCAGCAAGCAATCCATAGATGGTGTGCTTATAGTTGCCTCAAAAGGCCACACCAGAAACCGAGGCCAGCTACCTCCAGTGTCAGTCTAGGTGCTGCTCAGCAAGGAGCACCTCGCTTGCTGAGGATATACCTGGATGTGGCTGAGGTGGGGCCGCGAGTTGGGGGAGACAGAGTTTCAGGGAATCCTCTGGGCAGAGCGACCTCTATTATCCGGTTTGATGACTTCCCAGCTATGGCAGTGATGTGTCCACACACTGGGAGGAGGGAGGGCTTAAGAGAGAACAATGGATACTGCCGGCACCTCTGGACAGAGCGAATTTCTACTCGGCCTTCACTCCGATAATGTCTGCCTGTAAGTCCCTGGTGCCCTCTGTGCACAGCTTAATTGGCACTGGTGCTCAGAGCGAGCAGGTCTGTCACTGTGAAAATCTACTGGCGGATGAGGCCCCTTTAAGAGGTGTCTGCCACTGCCACAACCTCCGTCTCACTCAGCTGCTCGAGACCAGGCAGCCCTGCGTCCTTGCCCTGTCCTACCTTCTGTAATTGCAGGGTGATTTCTTGGACTTCTCCTTAGTTGTATGGCTTGTTCATCTAAATCCCAGGTGATTTTTCCTTGCTGCTGCTTCTTGTTTCCGTCCCAACTTTGATTGGTCGCCAGAGGGATGAACAAAGCCTCTATTATCTATGCCATTTTTTTTCCCTTTCTAAGGGCTGTTATTTACTAAATCAGGCTTTAAACACTTATTTCTATATATTTTCAGAATTGCAACATGTCCAACTGAACGGAACACAATCACTCCCTGAAGGCCTCTTAGATTATTTGCTCAAAAGGGCCAAGACAGCAATATGAGTACAAACTATGGTTAAAGATTTGGAGGCTGCAATGTGAAATCTGGTAACATATTCTACCCAAGATGCAGGTTAACAAGTGGAGTTTATAGTGAGAGGATACTTGAAGTCTGTGTCAAACCTTGTGAATGATAACTCTTTCCAAAACAGCTCCCACTCTTGGCTTCTTCATGTCACCTTCTTCTACCTTTGAGGTACATGACTGGGGACCTGGCATTACCTTGCTTAGCATTACCCTGCAACAGTTGCCTCGCTTTATGGTATGGGAGTACTAGGTAGTCATAGCAATGTTCTTTGCACGTGTGTAGGGACTGAAGTGGGAGAGAAGTTCGACTGAAATCGAGGTAGATAGAACCATAGTAGTCATCCTTGTCATTTCCTTGTCTAGAATCTTCCAGCGCAGACCTTTCTCTTGGACCAGTTTGAGCTTGAGCTATCTCATTTTCTCCCTTCCTTACCACCTTCTTTATCCAGACTCATGAAAGAAAGACACTGCAGGGCTAGTAAAATCATTAACGATGGAAAAAGTTTCCTTCTTCTTGGAGTGGAAAAGGGCTCAACAGAAACATGATTGTGAAGGGCTATGAAGCTCAAGTCTACAATCTTAACCACTATACCACATTGTCACATGGTTATTTCCACTCTGGCCCCAAGTTTGATCTCACGAGAAATGCAGAATGAATGTACTTCTTCCATACATCAGTATATGACATTGAAGAAAGCTCTCATGTCCTTCCTGATTTTTTTCTTCTCTGGCTAACCATCTCCGGCAAGGCAATAAGAAATTCTTTTGAAATTCTCGATGTACTTTTCCTGATGGCTAAGACCAGCAATTATCAATGGAAGCAAGTACCATCACTTCGGGGGCATCTTAGAAATGTAAGGGGAGCTATATGTGGTTGTCACAGTCATTGTGAGGTACAACTGGTCAGGGCCATTAAGAAATATTTGTATTCTAGCGGGGGAAAAAACTGGAGTGGGAAGACAACAAGGGCAGATGAGCAAAAACTTTTTACATAGGATTTGTATTGATACAACATAGGAAGGCCCTGTGTCTCTTTTCCCATTACCAGCCAACAGCCTGATAGCTAACGCCAACACCTCTAGTCTCGATCTTGGACAGAGATGCCAGATGTCTTGCCAAGCAAGGGACACCTTGATATAGCGTAGAATCTTTGCCCATCCTGCACAACCTCAAATATCCAGGTGCTCATTTCAGGTAGTGAAAACCGTTTTTATGATTATCTTAGTCTGGAATTCTATTTTATATTTAATTAGAGAGTAGTTTTTATAAAATTTTAAAATATACTAAAATTTTCAGGAATTTCCTTCAGTTCCTTCAGTTAACAAGATAACTTCTTGTTAACTGAAGGAAGATTATACTTCATTTCATTCAGAACTTGACTAAGAGTCAGTCATCATTTCAGAAAACCATGTCACAGATATCAGTGCCCTTGTGGTATTTGTGTTTCCAAATTCAACCTACATTTTTAGCACTCACTATCACAGTGATTCCACTTAAGAGCAAACATCTGACTTTATCATATTTTCTAATGTAGTTGTACCTGCTAGAGGCATAGTGAGCACTATATTTAATTTACAACAAACATATATAATTTTGTTATAAGTAACTTTCATTATATTTCTCTTTTATTAGGTTAGATTAGTGTCTTAGTTCATTTAGGTGGCAATGACAAAACACCACAGACTGAGTTAGCTTATAAACAACAGAAATTTATTTCTCACAGTTCTGGAAGCTGCAAGTTCTTGATCATGGTGCCAGCAGCATGATCTGGTGAAGGCTATTTTTTAGGTTGCAGACTTCTCATTGTGTCCTCATAGAAGGACCTAGGGATCTCTTCAGAGCCTCCTTTATAAGGTATTAATCCCATTCATGGGATTATGAGGTTCTACCCTCATAATTTAAGCACCTTCCAAAGTACTAATACCATCATTTTTGGCGGGGAGGAGAAGGATTTCAACTATTGAATTTGGTGGGGGACACAAACATTCAGAAAATTGGAGTTAGTAATTTATGTCTTTTAGGTATGAACTAGTAGATTATATTATGTATGAATTTCATTTTGAAGTAGCAAAAGATGTTACATAATATTTACTATAATGAAACGTAAGTATAATACTTTATGTGTTAGTTTCATGTTGCTGCTGTAACATTACCACAAATTTAGTGGCTTAAAATAACACAAATTTATTATCTTATAGTTTGGCCCCTTCCTTCATTTTCAAAGCCAGAAATAATAGCATATTCAAATGTCTTGCTGACTCTGACCCTCTTGCTTTTATTGTCACACCTCTTTCTCTGATACTGACACCCCTGCCTTCCTCTTATTCAAATTCCTATGATTCCATTGGGCCCACTTAGACAATCTAGGATAATCTTCTCTTCTCAAGGTCCTTAATTTAATCAAAAAGTCCCTTTTACCATGTATGGTAACATATTCACAGATCTAGGGATTTGTACCTGGACATCTTTGGGGGGCCATTATCCTGTCTATCATGCATTAATAATATAATACTTGTTCTGATAAGGTTGAGACTCACAGATAGAACTGAAGTATTGGGCTTGATACTCTCTCTCTTTCCGTTCTTAGGACAGGTAGATTTTGTCCTCAACCTTGGTTTGGGCTGAACCTGTTTCAGGGGTACACTGTTTAGAGTAACATAATCCCTGCCAGGCTGAGGGAAGGCTCTGGTTGTTGCAAGGACCTGAGTTGCCAGGCTATATGGGTCTAGGCATTTATTTGAAGCTAACCCGGATTAAATAACTCCTTTTAATATATATTTTTTGAAGCATGTAATGTTTACTTTTTGGGGTACCCAACTTTAAATGTCTTAAGTTTTTTTGCTTTTCTGGATACATTGAGAGTCACTGAGATATTCTTTAGCTCTAGGGGCTATGTGTTCTGACCTGTAAATCAGGATATATAGTATGTCAAAGGATATTTGATCTGCTTCTAAGAGTCAAAGAATTTCAGGAGATGCAATTTGGTTGAAGACATATTAGAATTTCTAGCACATCTTGATAGTTTTGGGAAGACAATGTGACAACAATTTTTTAAAAACTAAAATAGGTATCATTTAATGAGTTCTTTATGAAGTACCAAGTACTGTACTATGTCCTTTATACATATTATCTCATTTAATATTCATGACAATCCAGAGAGGTAGAAATTATCACTCTTGTTTTACAGGTTTTATCTCAAAGTTGTAGTAGTAGGCTCAGAATTCAAATACAGATCTGACTCAGAAGCTAATGCTTGAGAATTACTATACTTAGAGATCTAGAGCACAAGGTTCCCATAAATAGATGCATCGCAGAAACTAAAAATATTACATTGAAGATAAGCCATAGCTCCAGATCTGCAAGTGTCTTTTCGACCTGAGCGAGAGTTGGTATTTAGTTCACTGGAGATTTTAGAATTATCTCTCCCATGTTTTCACTCCTGCATAAGAAGGCAGGGCATGTTGGTATTTTCCAGGCAATAATAACAGGTTAAAGGGAGATTTGATAGAAAGATAGAAATGAAGGTTTTTATTTTTAGGGGTGGGGTGCCTTGGGAACTGCAGGTAGTACTGGAGAAGAAGAATGCCCCTTGGAGTCTAAATAGTACTGTTATGTGTATGCCAAAGCGATAGTTTAGTGTCTACAATCCACTTTTAATTTTCTAAAAATAGTCCACCCTGGGGGAGAGAATAAGGGGACAAGGGGCCATCTCACTTGAGAAAGTATAAGCCTGACTGATGAAGAGTCCCAGAGCAGCAGGCATCACCTCTCCTATTAGACAATTTCAGCTGTCTACTTTGGATTGACAGAGGCATCTGGCTGCTAAAAATACCCTATTGACCAAGTGCTCTCTAATCCAACCAAAGCTGAGCACCACTGCCATCTTAGACTGAACTTCTTCAAAAGGAACTTTTCAAATTTTCAGGCCCAATCTCGGAGCCACGCAGTCAGTTTTTGCTCTGTCAGCTTTGCAGGGTGATGAATGACACCCTTCCCACATCACTGTTGTCTTCTTGCTTGACCACCTCTGCCTCCAGGAAAAGTGACAGTGGGGGGAGGTGAGGGCCCAGTGGCGAGAGGGGGAAGGGAAGGGGAGGTGGCTTGTCCATTTATAGGCTTGCTCTTTGGGATGCTGAAGGTGCTGAAATAGCCGCAACGACAAGCAACTTGGCTCAGTGTTAAATATCTACAGTGCTGCCTGAAAGACCATGAGATGACAATAGGGAGAATGGAGAATGTGGAGGTCTTCATTTCGGATGGCAAAGGCAGGAGTCTGAAGGCCACTAAGGAGTTCTGGGCTGCGGACATCATCTTCGCTGAGCGGGCTTATTCTGCAGTGGTTTTTGACAGGTATGAAATGTGGGGACTTGCCTTTTTTTCTCCTTTTGGTTTGGTTGGTGCTAAAATCTAAAACTCTTTGCTCTCAAAATCATCAGGACAAGGATAAAATCCAGGTGATCATTTTAAACGAAATGGCATTTCTACCAGTTTTCTGACATAACTTTCTACATAGAGTCATTGCCAATGTGATTTGTTCTGGTCCCTAAGAGTGTTGTTAAAGTAACCAAAGTTTTGGGGCGCTTTCTCACAATATCAGTGAAATTGGCTGAGTGGAAGTGCTGGATGTGGTGAGGGTGGAGAGAAAGGAGTGGAAAAGTGTGTGTGGTGCTGTAGGAAACACTTTCTTACAGAAGGCTCCATGTTTTAACTTCTTGGATATAAGAAATATATTAGAGGATTAAATAATTGACAAGAATTTAAAAAAGAAATTATAAACACACAAGTAACAGTGGGATGTATTTACCTTTGAAAAATTAGAATATCACAAACAGTGTTAGAATCCCTTATCCCTATCCCCTCTATCTTTTCCCAGGGATAATTCTTGTTATGATTTTAATGTGTTTCCTTCTAGAATGTTCTTGTTCTATTACATATATATATATTTGGACTTATCAAAATTTAAAGCTGTCTAGTTTGTCTATTATTATTTTGGAAAAATGCTGTTATCCTTCAGATGTGATTCTAGAATTTGCTCTTTTCACTAAACATTTTTGATATTTATTCCTATGAAACTGTAAGTCTATAGATGCTTCTTTTAAATATCAAATATCTATTTCTTTAACCCATATATAGATTTATCCATGTTGATTCATATGCTATGTGGATTGCCAATTTTAACCACTGTAAATATTCTGCCATACAAATATGTGAAATTTTATTTATCCATTTACCTATTGAAAGACACTGTGGGTTCCAATTTTTCATAAAAACAAACATTTCTGCAATTAAAATCCTTGACTATGTCTACTTGTGTACATGTGTGATTATTCTCTAGGATGTATGGCTCGAAGAGGAATTGCTGTGCCATCGGGTGTGGTATTTTCAGTTTTAATATGCTCTCCAA